TCATTGTTCACTTTAATCCTCAGTTTTTGATTTTGTTTGTTTTACTTCATCCCCTGATCAGAATCAGGATCAGAATCAGAATCAGGATCAGAATCAGGATCAGGATCAGGATCAGTTAATGTGTCTAAAAATGATTCTATATAAATATATATAAATATCTCCATATACAACTACATATCTACAGTAAATATACTGTTATAAACATACAAATACATGCACTCAGTCTTAGTACTGCATATGTGTGTGTGTGTGTGTGTGTGTGTGTGTGTGTGTGTGTGTGTGTGTGTGTGTGTGTGTGTGTGTGTGTGTGTGTGTGTACAAATGTTGGACCCTTGTCCATTTTTTCTGATGACTCAAGATCTATAATACTAAAACTGTATGTTGGTTTGCTGGTTTTCAACTTATTGCATCTAACTCCTTGGCGGCAGTGAGGCCAGCGTGGGGGGGGGATGAATCTTGTTAAACTGGGACAGACAGGTGTGTGAGAAGTCATTATTGGACAAAGTAGGGACGGTTACATAACTGGGCTGACATGGAGGCAGGATGAAGAGAGAGCTAAATGTCCACTCGGGGGCTGGAGTTCCCACTTCATCAAATAAGTTTAATGTGTATAATTCACATTAATTTGTTGAATTTCTGTTCTTTGTTGACTAAAAGTTTGTAAAATGGTTGTGTAGACTTTAAGAGCAGCCTGGAGTTGTAAAGACAACAAACGGAGGCTGGATTGTTGGACTGGATGTAAATATAGAAATATCACCGTAGATCTCACCTAAAATAGGAACGACTCTTTTTAGCACTGAGAGTAAACGCTGGGTCTCTGCCCTAAAAGCATTTGGTTATTACAGAATATTACGGTTAATGCAGGAGGATTGAACAGCACTTCATTTCTCAGCACATTTATTGTTACACAAAAGGTTAAATCAGGTCATGTGGACAGTTTCTTTCTGGGAGAAATGTTTCATCTTTCATCCTTCAGACTTCATCAGTCTGAGGACTGCCAGCACCCCCTTGATGGGTTTCAAACCAGTCTGCTGTGGAGTTCCCAGAAACTGACTTTACACATGCAAGAAGGGCCCATCAGTCTAAACAATCAGTCATCATGCATACCAGTCAAATGGTTTAGACCTGAAGGCCAGTCACAGAAACAGCCTGAGGACACCTGGACAAAATGGTTCAGAAAAAAGGCCAGTTTCTGAAAATTCAATCAATCAATCAATCAATGTACTTTATTGATCCCAAAGGGAAATTTCATTTCAGTACACTTGTCAAGAAAAGAAAACAACAGCCATGGGGGAGACAGATTAGATAAGGAAAGTGAAAAGCATGAGGAAAGGAAGGAGGTATTAAAAAGTCTCTCACTGTGACTTTGACAGTGTGAGAAAGCAAAAAACTGCCTCAGCACAGAAACGCAACATAAATAGACATAATACATATGTGTGTGGAGTGGGTAGGGGGAGGGGGTCCCTGCATGGCTGCCAGGTGAGCGACACAGCCCTTTGGCGCCTTCACATCTCCTAGGTTGCTGCACCAGGGGAGGCAATGAGGGAGGCTGGCAAAGGCGTGAGTTTGAGGGGAAGTCGTAGCACAACGCAGTCCAGAGTGCCCCCCAGCCATAGTCCTGATAAGAGGTGTTCGTTTATCAGCCAGCTCGGTTGAGCTCTGACACAGGTCCACTTCCTTGGGGAGGGGAGGGGAGCGTCTCGTTTCCATAGCATCCAAGGAGAAATAGAGATAGTCAGCCTTCCAAGGCCAGAGCCAGAATCAGATTGTTTTGGGTCAGGCCGAGCTCTTTACTTTCCGCGTCTGCCTTTACAGTCTTGCTAGTGCATCTCATGGTGACTCCAAACAGCCGAACTGTGGTTACTGACATCGACATTGGGCTTACAGCTTCTCCAAGATCTATTCCTTCCAACCGTCCATGAACACTACCAGAAAGTTCCACAGTCCTGCCTGCTCAGCTCTGATACAGGTCCACAGATAGTTCACGCAGCGTCTGATTGTGTCCAAGTCCGGCACACACATTCCAGACAGCTTAAACAGCTGCTGACGTTTCCAGATTTGTCGATAATCCAGATTTCCACCGACTCCAAACAGCAGAATCCAGTTATCATAAATCCAATGATGTTTCCGGGGTAAGAGGGCTCTCCTTCACCCCGTCTTCTTGTTGAGAAAATGTGATCACTTGTGTTGAGAGACAGACCAGCTGAACAAACACATAGTTTACAGTTCAGAAGGTATGCAGAAAGGGTTTCTGAAAAAGGTTCACAAGAGCAAAGCAGGGACGGAGCGGAGGAGGAAGCGTCTGCCTTCACCGAGAGCAAGCAGAAAAATAAAAATAAAATAAATAACTCCACAGCAGGCTGGCTTGAAACCCGTCAACGAGGTGCTATTTATAAGACAGATCTTGGTGGCAGGCCTCAGACTGAAGAAGTCTTTCTGATGAAAGATGAAACGTTTCTCCCAGAAAGAATCTGTCCAGATGACCTGATTTACCCTTTTTTGTGATTCATTGGCCTGCATGACTGAGTTTACAAACCTTTTTATTTCTTGTTTCACCTCTACCCATCAGTAATTTTCTGCTCAGTGTGGCAGCTACTTCCACACACTCCCTGACCCCAGGAGTGTTTGTGTGTTTGCAGTGGGAACCGGTCCAGTACTTCAACAACAAGATCATCTGTGACCTGGTGGAGGAGAAGTTTAAAGGCATCATCTCCATCCTGGTGAGGAGACACACTGTTGCATCTAAAAGAACACTCCCTCAGATCCTTCTCATCTAAATGTCAACAGCAAAGGTCAAACCAAGTTTCATCTCAGACCAGAAAAGAGACGACTTGCCTTCTGTTGTCGTTGTTTTGTGTCTTTATAATGAAAGTACAATTACTGACCATAATCAACATGTTCTTAAATCTGACGTCCATGCCCCCCCCCCCCCCCCCCCCCCCCCCCCCCCAATCATTTGTGGAAACTACACTTTGAGGCAGTATTAGAACTAGAAATCATAGTTATATGTATATATGCATATATATTGTATATAGTAAATGTATATATTCATCTATGTGTATATATATATATATACAAAGTATATATATATTTATATATATATATACATACATACATACATACATATATTTATATACATACAAGGAGCAGAGGTCACAAAAGTGTAGGACTTCAAGTACTTGGGGTGCACTGTCCAGGAAAATGTGGTAAAGAGTTGAAAAAGAGTCCAGTACCTCAGTACCTCAGTACCTCAGTACCTCAGTACCTCAGTTATCCAGCTCACATCTTTTTTTAAATCCGAGTCTTTTAATTAGTCCATTTGTTTTTCAACACAAATAACAGAACGCTCCCACCCACACTGGATCAGCCACACACATACATGTCTTTATACAGGTTTCCAACATAGGACACAAAAGGCTGCCCGGTGTCCCAGAGTCTTTTTGCAGAACCTTTCAGGGTATGTCAGATTTTCTCCAGAAGAATATGATACATGACTTGTCTTGTATCCAGCTCACATCTTTAACAGACAGAAGGCATCTCCAAGCCCCCTCTTCACTCTGCAACGGGGGCAATAATGAGGACAGAGAAAGTTACTGTTGTTCAGGTCACACTTGGCCTTTATAAATAAAATGTGTTCCTCAAAGTGTTCACGTAGCTCTTTAATATCAGAAGACTTTAATAAAGTAGATCAGAATGATCCACTCATAGAGACTTGAACACATGTGAATGTGATCCCGGCAGAAAAACCCACTGTTTGTCCTCCTGTGAGACCTTTGTTCACCGTTGTCCCTTCACAGGATGAAGAGTGTCTGAGGCCTGGTGATGCCAGTGACTTCACCTTCCTGGAGAAGCTGGAGGACACCGTGGGAGGACACGCTCACTTCGTCACGTTAGTTTGATGCTCATTTTCACGGATCAGACATTCCCAGTTTGGTCTCACAGAGCGTTAAACTTAAACACTTTGTGAGAATCTATCCTGCTAAATAATAGTTGAATGTTTAAGTTCCCACTCTGCGTGTGTCCCTGCAGTCACAAGCTGGCTGATGGAAAGACCCGGAAGGTAATGGGTCGAGAGGAGTTCCGACTGCTGCACTACGCTGGAGAGGTCAACTACAATGTCACCGGTGCGTTGTACCATGTGATGTGTTGCTTTGTGGCTGAATGAGGGGCTGACAGCCCATGAAAACGTATTCCTGCCTCTTCTTCATCCGTCCATGTCAAACGTTGTGCCTTCCACTTCATTTCCAGCTGCACGTCTTCTACGATTTGTCTCTTCCAGCTTTGAGCATGTAGAGACAGAAACGGTAGTCCGGTCTTTATTGGTGAAACATTACGTTGTTTAACGTTAAGTTGTCAGAGCTGCACTGCAGATTGGATGGAGAGTGTCTGTAAACAGCAGTTTTCAAGTCCTGCCACAGCTTCTCAGCTGGACTTACGTCTGAACTTTCACTGGTCCATTCCAACACAATCTGCTTTGATCTGAACCGCTCCGGTGTAGTTCTGCTGGATGGTGAACCTCTGACCCAGTCTCAAGTCTTCTGCAGCCTCCAACAGGTTTTCTTCCAGGACTGTCCTGTAATCAACTCTACTGATCTTCTCATAGTTTCTCACCAGCTTCCCTGTCCATGATGAAGAAAAGCATCCCCACAGCATGATGCTGCCACCACCATGCTTCACAGTGGGGACAGTTTGTTTTAGGGTTAAAACGTTTGGATTTGTTCTGATCCGAGTCCCTGCGTGGTTTGTGTCAGACTATAAATGGGACATTTATGGTTTTCTTCTTGTCCCTCCTCCATAAAGGACAGATTTGTGGAGTCCACAACTAACAGTTGTCCTGTGGACAGACTGTCCCACCTGAGCTGTGGATCTCTGCAGCTCCTCCAGACTCATCATGGAGCTTCTTAGCTGCTTCTCAAATGAAAGCTCTGTTTGCCCAGCCTGTCAGTTTAGGTGGGCGGCCATGTTGGAGAGAGTCTGCAGTTGTTTCATTCTCAGATCGATCAGAGCTCTGTGAGACGTTCAAAGTTTAGGAGATTGGTTTTATAACCTAACTGCTTTAAACTTCACAGCACCTGCATCCATAACCTTTGTTCATTCAACCTTTATTTAGACAGATAGCTCACACTGAGCCTCGAAGACTCATTTACAAGTGAGACCTGTTTAGACAAACAAAAAGTAGTGAAACTGGACACATTGGAGGCAAAAAAAATTCATATCAAACTCTTTCTTCTTGGCTATGTGATGTGTTTCTTGGTCTTCATGATGCTGTTTGATAAATGCTGTACACAGCACAATCAGACACTACATCTGTCACTTAAATCCCAGTAAAATAAATATTTTACTCATGTAGTTTGTATTTGTACCATGACAATAGTTCACATGTGGATACTTTTTCAAGACGTTCGTAAGAGTTGCTGTGTATTTTTGAGCTTTACACTTTTTCTCACTCAGGATTTTTGGACAAGAACAATGATCTTCTCTTCAGGAACCTAAAAGAGGTCAGACTGGACAGCATGTTATAAAACTACATGTCACTGAGCTGTCTGGGTGATTCTGAGCTCAGACGTTTGGATCTGCAGGTCATGTGTATGTCGGAGAACAAGATCCTGAGGCAGTGCTTCGACCGGGAGGAGCTGAGTGACAAGAAACGGCCTGACACGGTGAGAACCCTTCACATGTGTCCAACTCAAGAGCTGCGGCCCACATCTGCTCCCCCATCGTTTAAATATAAAATATAGTATCTCTTCTCATTTTTTCTTTAAAAAACTGGTCAGTACACCATTCAGTGCAGGCTTCTGTTGCCAGCTGGCAACTCTGAAGCCTGACAGTCGGCTGGATGGTTCTGTCATCACTGACTCTGGACGTCGAGTGAGAGATCAAACTCTTGTTCATGAACCTGCAGCAAGACCTCAGCTATCTGACTCCAGTTGATGTATCAGCTGAAAGTGGCTCGGTCAAAGTTTTTAAATGTTGGCTCCTTGTGGTAACTGAGTTCAACACCCCAAGAGTTGATGTAACAAGTGTCACTTATTTATTTTGGCTCTTTCTTGCACTTACAAATCGCTCCAACCGTCCCAGCACACTTTCCCACAGCACAACAAACAGAAGTTTGTTCTGTGTTTTGATGGGGATCCTCTGTGACTGCCCACTCTCTGAGAAATGCCCCCCACCCACACACACACAGATGCTGTCCCAGGCTGGTGACGCCCCCCTCCTTCACACTGAGCCCAGTGTTCAGATGAAGCAGCTCTTTGCTGACACAGCTCTTTTCAGGCTGTCTGCAGCCTTCCTCCTCCTCCTCCTCCTCTTCACATTGTTGTCCTCTCTTCCACTCACTGACTGGGACCTGCTCCTCATCACCAGTCCGACCAGGCCAGTGTGTAGTAACGTTTTGTTGCTGGTGTCGGCCCCTGCAGGCAGCCACACAGTTCAAAGTCAGCCTGGCGAAACTCATGGAGATCCTGATGTCCAAGGAGCCTTCGTACGTGCGCTGCATCAAACCCAATGACTCCAAACAAGCAGGTAGGTCCTGCTTCTCTGTCTGCAGAGCAGCTGGGACATCTTATTTGAAATTGTATTCATAACTGAGAAGTTATTGTCTGTATTTTAAACACGTAACGGTATTAAAAAGTTTAGAAATGTTGAATCAGCAACTCAATTGTCTTTTTGTCTCTTTACAACAAACTTCATATTGAGCTTGATTTTACTTAACACGTTAAATTAGATTATATTACATAGGTCCTGCTTCTTAGGATAATGTTTAAGTTTCAAAGGATTGTTTTCACCTGCCTGAGGCCAAGTGTTAATGTTTTTCTTCTGTTTCTGTCTGTGTTTGTCCGTCCCGAAATGTGAGAAGTTAAAAATGATTTACTTTATTATAAAAAAACGACCCTATCAGTCAGAAGAGGCTGAAGAAACGCTTCAGAATCAGAGGAGTTGAAAATGTCTGGGATGAGCTACGGACGTACAGTCGAGCTTGAGAGTATTTGAAAAGTAGGCATTCTGCCAGAAAAATATGTTGTTATCAACCAGAACAAATGTCTCCAGATTTTTATACCTGGAAACTTGTGTCAAATGAGTTGAATAAGTTCAAGTCATTGTCAGACTCTAGGTAATTAAGCATCCATTCCTGCACTCCCTGAAAGATTTAGGAAAACACTGATGCTCAGTATCGGGTTTATTTGTGTAAGCAGAGAGAACTGTTTTATTTCTTATAAAGATAAAGCATTGTGTCTGCTTTGCACAGTCCAACATAGACCAAACTGTAGTTGGATGCATGATGGTATTGTCAAGATTTAACCACATTAACAGTTGTAACTCCACCACATATTAATTTTAGTTTAACTGGCATCAAAGGCTGTGATGTGCATTACTTCAAGGAAATCTAGGCCTTTACTTTAGGTTGAATATTTGAATCATTTGCCTCTGTACTTTCATAGCTTTAAAGAGATTTATTTCACTTTTCTGCTCATGTAAACATGACAGTAAGAGCTTCATGTCTCAAACATGTTAAAGCCGGTGTCACCAGTCAGCACTCGGTGAGTTTTCTGCTGCATCCGGCGTCACAGCGTGACGTTCAGTGAGCTCGTCGGCCTTTGTCTGCTCCACACTCGGCCTTTTGTTGGCTTCTCACTGTTCCTCTGTCCTCCGTTCCTCCTACTGCTGCTGTTTAGCATTTAGTCCTGACATGTCCCCCTCTGTTGCAGCTCGGTTTGACGAGGTGTTGATCCGTCACCAGGTCAAGTACCTGGGTCTGATGGAGAACCTGAGAGTGAGGAGAGCCGGCTTTGC